TCCTTTTCTTTTTCTTTCTTCTTACATGACTTGCCTCAGTCTGATGAAATAAACTTTGTGAAGTACGCTGATGATTTAACTGTTTCAATGGCTGTTAACTCCCAGCTAGATTGTACCAAAATAAATAGCTTTCTGTAGGGAGTCAGTAAATGGTCTGAGTCTAACGATCTTAAACTGAATCATTCTAAATGTCAAACTGTTAATTTCAGCTTAAGATGTTATCGACAGTTAAAATAAGCCGTCGATTCTCATGACAGTTGTAAGATTGATGACAATGATATAGGAATTAAATCAGAAATTAAGTATCTTGGACTTATTCTCTCTTCTGATCTCTCCTGGTCTTCCCATGTCTCAGCGATCTCCAGTAAAATATTCCGCCTGACATTTTACATTAAGAACTTAAGGCACTAGGGTATAACTCAACCCCTCCTCTTACAGTTCATAAACTCTTGCATCCTACCTATTCTTCTTTATTGTTCACCCTTATTCTTTCCTGGTTTGCTTAAAAAGGACTATGTCACAATTCGTAGAATGCTGAAGACGGTCAGTAGGATGAGTGGTGTCCCAGTGGACTACATAGTTAACGTCGTTGTCGATAGGCACTTTACTTCGTGCAGTAAATTTGCTAAAGGGATTTTGTCTGACTTGGACCATCCACTTCACCCTCAGCTTTCACCTTGCATCTCCTCAGGTAGAACAAGAAGTAACTTCAGAAAACTGTATGCTCGCACGTCTAAGTATAAAAATTCTATGATACCATACTTGGCACGTATTTTGTGATGAAAATAGCGTCAGGCAAGAATTGACTAGCCTTTTTTCATCTAGTAAATAAACAATCTCCTCCATCCATCCTTATATACCTTCAAGTTTTACTTTTATGATTTCTATTATATTTATGGTCCTGTTGCCTCTTCATTTTTACTTTCATAACTGCAAACGCCAACTTGCCTCTATGACTGCTGTAATCTTTGTTTTTCCCCTCACCATATCATGTAAAGAGAACATTATATTCAATATTTTTAATCATGCAAGGATTTGTATACCGCATCGACAATACTGTGTGAAACAAGCCCACGGCAATTTCCACTTGTATTATTATCATTACCTTAGCTGCTATCATTATTATTATTACCACTTTATATGCTGTATTTTTTTTGACATTACCCCTATTGTAAAGGTAGAAAAGTTTTCTGTGTGATTAATTTTATTGATTATTTGAGGAAATTAGATGCAATATTGTGATTAATGCTGAAAATTCCATTTTGTATCACAAGTACTGTTTTTTGAATAAAGTAAATTATTATTATTAGTCAGTTGCTACAGGATGCAGTTTCCTGGAGTACTAGAGAGATGTCGTGACCAGTGAGGTCCAACCAGTCAAGTGTGAGGACGGATGTCCCACCTATGGCATTGGTTAGCAGTCGCCCTAAATCACAAATTGGTAAAAGTAAGTATTCATGAGCTGGCCATTGAATCGGGTCCCAGTAGGTGAATGCTATACGAGCTTGTCTTGAGACCAGAAGGTTCTGGGTTTGAACCGCGCAGAGTGAGTGCGTACTCGCGACTATTCATTTTTTGGCAAAAATAAAATTGTAAACGTATTTGACAGTATGAAGTACTTATGATATTCTGTAATCCTTCGTGTTTTTATATGTATTTAGACGGTTCAGTTTCTCAGTGTACTGTATTAAGGTGTTTAGCTGTTCCGAGTTAATTCATTTATTAAAGAAACATTTATGCATAGCTGTTGCTTAACCTCATATTACAAACACTTTTAGTAAGTAATATAAGATAACGTAGTTGAAATAAATGTTTGCCAACGATCCATACCCTCATCAACCTGAAACCAGTTTCAAACTCTTTTACTGAAACTCAGCATTAACACCAAGATTTTCACCTTCAACAACGGCATCAAGTCGATCCTTCTCTACAGGTCAGAAACTTGGCTCATGTGTCACGAAAAATGATTTCCAACAGCCTGTTGCAGACTTTTATCAACAACTGCCTTCTCTACCACCACAATGAAGATCAAATGACCGAAAAGACTTAGTAACGAGAAACTCTGGGAACAAACCAACCAAGAGCCGATTGCTCGACAAACAAGTAGGAGAAAATGGAGATGGATCGGGCATGCATTGTAGAGGCCGTCGAATGAAATCGCACGCCAGGCCCTCGAGTGGAATCCAAATGGGAAGCGACGAGTGGGTCGTCTGTGTGAAGGTGACATGAAGTAGGTTGTGTGAGGAAGAGATGAGAGATTATGAGCAATCGTGGACCCAGCTGAAGAGGATGGCAGAGAATAGAAGAAAGTGGAGATGTGGTGTTGAAGTCCTGTTTTCCACTAGGAACTCAAGCGAATAATAAAAATATATATACGATGTATTTATTACTTACAATACACATTCACTTTATTACTTAATAGTTGTTACAATTCACATGACAGACAAAAAATAAGATGTGCGAATCATGCATAGTGCTTATTATCGGAATTCTGCATCCAAAACCAGAACAAGCTGGATTCAAGAAAGGCAAATCATGTTCTGACCAAATTGCAACTCTACGCATCATCATCGAACAAAGCATGGAATGGCAATCAAACATCTACCTCAACTTTATAGACTTTGGGAAGGCATTTGACAGCGTCGACCGCGAAGTAATTTGGAAACTACTCAAGTACTACGGCGTACTCCAAATATTCATCAACCTTATTCAACAGCTGTATGACAACGGCACATGTCAAGTGATCCACAACGGAAAACTCAGCGAGGTGTTTGGAGTAAACACAGGAGTCAGACAAGGGTGCTTATTATCACCAATGATATTCCTAATTGTGGTGGACTGGATTATACGTCACACAGTGAGAAACGAGAAGAAAGGGATATCCTGGACCGACGTGAAGAATCTAGAAGACCTAGATTTTGCGCGTGGATGATTTGTGTTTGATGTCACACAAAAGTGAAGACTTACAAGCGGAAACCGACAAACTGGTCAAAGAAGCAGCAAAGACAGGACTCCAGGTGAACATAGACAAGACGGAGGTTATGAAAATAACCAACCAACCAACAACAACATCAACAGCAGCAGCAACATCTAGCACCAATCACCATCAACGGGAGGGATTTGAAAGAGGTTACTTCATTCATTCACTTATCTAGGGAGCATTGTCTCAACTACAGCAGGAATGGACGAGGATGTCAAATCGAGTGAGAATCGGGAAGGCGAGAAACACATTCATCAACCTGAAACCAATCCGGAAATCTTCCGCTGTCACTCACCCTGCATCAACAACAAAGTGATTCGGATTTTCAATACAAACGCCAAGTGAGTCAGTTCTTCTATACGGATCAGAAACCTGGCCAATGTGTCACAAAGAATATTTCCAACAGCCTGTTGCAGTCCTTTATCAATAGCTGTCTTCGCTGGTTCTACACTCAAGATCAGATGGCCTGAAAGAACAAGAACCAACAAGAAAGTATGGGAACAAACAAAACAAGAACCAATCGCCTAAGAAATATGCAGGAGAAAGCGGAGATGGATTGAACACTCTCTGAGGAGGCCGTTGGGTGACATCGCGCGTCAGGCCAGTGCTCGAGTGGAACCCGAAAGGGAAGCGAGTGGCGAGTGGGACGTGTAAGGTTGGCATGGAGGAGATAGTGTGAAGAGGAGCTGAAACAGTATGGATTAACATGGATGCAGGTGAAAAGTACAGCAGAAGACAGAAGCAAGTGGAGACGTGTTGTTGAAGCCCTATTTTCCACTAGGAACCCAAGGGAACCATAATAATAATCATGCATAGTTTCAAAGTTCATAAATTCAATCAAGTAAAGAGTATAGTGATGATAAACACAAAGTGGATACAGTTTATGGAAAAATTGATTACATGCACATATATATATTTCATAGCAAACTAACAGATTCAAAACAGCCACCAAAAACTAAAAAGCTTGAGAGAGAGCCGTTTCACCCATATTTTGAAGTACTTCGCTCAACCCTGCAATGTGATCGTCTCGAAGTGTGTAAGTGTTAGGTTCTAAAATGAACAAGCTGCTACTTAACTAAGCATGTTACAACCTAATAACTTGCGCTTTCAGCCTTACCTTTTTTTAAGATACTGTACCGAGATCATATTCATATTTTGTGTGGTTTACCGCACAAGAAGATTATTATAATTAGTGCCACGGGAAATCTTACTAGTCATTAAATGTTTTTGATCATAAGTGAAATATCATGAAGCGTCCATTGATCTGCGTGCAGACTTAGTCAAGAGCAGCAGTAATACACTTCAGTGGTGATTGCTATGTGATAACAGTTGTCTTCCCTCAATACTCAAGATCAGATGGTCGGCCAGAAAAGATCAGCAACAGAGATCTCTGGGAGCGAACCAACCAGGAATCGATTGTGAAACAAATAAGCAGGAAGAAATGGAGGGAGATGGATTGGCTGGTCATACTCTGAGGGAACCATCAAGTGACATCACTAGACAAGCCATCTCTCGAGTGGAGCCTGAAAGGGAAGCGGCGAGTTGGTCGTCATTGCAAGGGTGAGGGTGACTTGGAGGAGGTGATGTGAAGAGGAGATGAAAACGTGTGGGCAGACTTGGAGCCAGGTGAAGACTCTAGCAGAGAACCGAACGCAATGGAGACGCACAGCTGAAGCTTTATTTTACTCTAGGAATTAAAGGAAACAATAATAATAATGTGATCTATAGTTTACAGTGATTATTTAGCTGATGTCAATTCGTAATAGTATCCACCTCAATATAAATACCTAAAATTAAAGAATTCCCAGCAGTAAGCACAAATTAATTCACATTTATACAAAGTAAAAATACTCAACAACATAGGTATACACGAAACCAGTCTCTAGATCCATTTAGTCTCTACCAGAGAGCTTAAATTCCAGTATAATTCTCAGAGATTAACAAATGAACATTTAAGTTCTTTCTTCCTACTTTTTTCTGCTTATCATTAACAAATCATTTTGTTTCATCATGAACGTAGGACATTTCACTCAGGTCGTATGGAAATCAACTAAGAAAGCAGGATTTGGAGCGGCGAAATCATCAGATGGCATGAAAATATATGTAGTTGGACGCTATAAACCTGCTGGAAATGTAATCGGTCGTTATGCTGAGAATGTACCAAGACCTAAAAAAGCTGCACCTCCAGGTAGTGTCTTCTGTAATTATGAAAATGCTTTTTTACCTTTTATGACTACTTTTCACGTTTTGTTTCCAGTGTTGATAAGGGGTTCATATCAATAATTCTGTGTATATCAGCTTGAGGTTGAAAATAGAGGGATACTGATATAAAATAGTAATGTATCAGCTAAATGATGAGAACCCTGAGTTTATATGCTCATACTCCTACAGGAGGTCAGTCGTGAGGCCGGATAGCTCAATCGTAAAGTATCTAAGTGAAGAACTGTGTGATACGGGTTCGCATTATAGAGAGAACAAACAGTTCTTTGAAGGTTACAGATATGCTTCACTGACCAGTGTCGACAAGAATGATAACAAGGCCTAGGGCTTCGTACAGATTGCTTTCAACTGTCGGATATTAGTAATAAGTTTGTGGGCAATGGGTTGGCAGTAAGACAGTTTCTGTGGAAGACAGAGACCTACTTTATTCAGCTGTATGCCATTCACTGATTAGGTTACTGATCGCAAACACACAGATTGCAAGAGAATATTTAGTGGAATACTTTTGGATTTTCTAATCAAACAGTATTTACAGTTACTTCGGAAGATACCACAGAAGAAGCTATAAATTTTCGTTATTCACTCCACATTAAAACACAAGGGTTAGAAACTGATATTATGACTCATAAATTTTATCACCGCTCCGTAGGTCCTTTATAATGCAGTATATAGTAATATGTTAAGACACTGGTGCGATAAATTTACTGACAACCAGTTGTAGTGACCAAAATAGACTCGTTGTGATATAACTGCTGTATAGCTGCTCGAAACTTTCTTCAGAAACACGCCGTCACAAACGCTCCAAAAGTAACGAAAAGACGATTTTTCTTGATTGGAATGTATGCGTGGTTCTATTTAGCAATAATCACATGGAAAATCTACTACTACTACTTCAACAGTGCCATCAAGTAGCTATACAGGCATTATTGGTTTCTAAACACAAAACAAACATTGTAAAACAAAATTATGTTAACCAGAATACAACCATATTATGCACCTTAGAATCAAAAGAATCAGACTCCGTCCATAAGTCCAAGATCAGAATCACCTTGACTCACTAAAACAAAGTCACACCGCAAGACAACACATCATCAGTGTATCCCAAAAACAAAAAGAGAAGAATAAAAATTAGAGATTAAACAGGGACAAAGGCAAATAATACCGATCAAATCAATACGTAATGTGCAAATGCTAAAATACCTAAATAGAGTCTAGGAGAAACATGGATAATACTTACAAAGTTAGTTGAAACATCCATATAAGTATAAACGTTAGGATTAGATTGCTCAGAAGGGGTTTTCCAGCCAATTTTCCCATTACACCGGCCAATAGAAACACACAAACCGGTTACTTCCGTTTCCTGCAAAAAGATGGAAATAGGCAGGCTCAATGAGGACTGACAAGTATTTATGTGAGACATATTGTTCATCAGATAAACTTTTCCACTACTCTTGTCGGAGAATTTAAACAGAACTATATTCTGAAGTAAACTGACATCAATTAACCACCTATATATTTAAACAAAGAACGCCAAAGAAATATTTCTACCTGGCTTAGGGCTCATTAGAAGTCTTACAGCGGGAAAAAACTCTTGTAATCAAACAGTGTGTCTAAATCACCGGATGTTTTCACATAGTAATTATCTAACAGCTGCCCAGCACATTTTAGTTCTTCGTGATTTTATTTGTTGGTATCAGTTACTAAAAGCAATTTATTCAACTGACAAGGATTGGGATACAGACTAATGCTGACCAATGTTAGTGACCAGGGACGGGACGTGCCACAAGTTATAAAAGAGAATTTCAACGTCACCTTATTGGTCTATCAGCAGCACATTCAACCAGAAAGTTAATTATCATAAGTTCTTTTTAATATCTTTAAGATCACTTCTAACCAATTTTGAGTAGTAGTTGTTGCTCCATATTAGTTTGTTTATTAGGTATATCACACAGTGAAACAGTATTATTTACTGAATGACGTTTCGAACAAAATTTATTGTTCATAATCATATCAATTGTGATCACACGACTTTGACACTTGAGTTTTATAGTTTTCTTTGTTCTCTCCTATTTGTCGTAGGGGGAGTAGAATTTTCCAGATATCCGACTGGACAGGTGTTGAACCATTCTTATTACATGTATTTGTAGTTGATTTGATAGACAAAGCTTCTGTTATCAATCTCTGCCTATACCCTGTGACATTAGATTTTAAAACTGTCATCCTATCCCATCCTATTGTATGGTTGTGTGTGACTGCATGTAGTGCTATAGCTGAACTATTCTCTAGATTTCTTACCTTATTCGGGTCAGCCAACCCGGATAAATTAATCAAGAAATATATAAGGAAATGTAAAAATAAAATAAATAATGATAGTAGTGATAGTGATAATAACAATAATAGTGATAATGGTAATAGTGACAATAATAATATTATTGACGACACCAACAATAAAGAATCTAAATCATCAGTAGTAATTCCATACAAGGAAGGAACCTCGGAAGCCTTATGCAGAATTCTTAACAAGGCAGGAATAAAAACGGCATTCAAACCCACAAACTGAATTAGAAACAAGCCTTCTCGGTAAAAGGATCCTGTAGAGCCTTTAAAACAAAACAATTTAGTTTATCTAATACCCTGTCTGGAATGATTGTCAGGTCAAATACATAGGTCAAACTAGTAGAACAGGGTCAGTCAGACTAACCGAGCAATAATACCTAGCAAAATCTAGATTAGTTGACCTGAATAAGGTAAGAAATCTAGAGAATAGTTCAGCTATAGCACTACATGAAGTCACACACAACCATACAATAGGATGGGATAGGATGACAGTTTTAAAATCTAATGTCACAGGGTATAGGCAGAGATTGATAACAGAAGCTTTGTCTATCAAATCAACTACAAATACATGTAATAAGAATGGTTCAACACCTGTCCAGTCGGATATCTGGAAAATTCTACTCCCCCTACGACAAATAGGAGAGAACAAAGAAAACTATAAAACTCAAGTGTCAAAGTCGTGTGATCACAATTGATATGATTATGAACAATAAATTTTGTTCGAAACGTCATTCAGTAAATAATACTGTTTCACTGTGTGATATAACTAATAAACAAACTAATATGGAATTACTTACTACCACAGTGCCCAAGTTTTACACATATATTAGTAGTTGTTGATTCAATGAAACAGAATTCTAGTGCTTTTCAATAACTAACAGTTCTTGTAGTTGATATCAAAGTTGTGATAAAATCTCTTCTATCCGAGCAAAATCAAATAGTTCACTGTTACGTTCATCTGTTAAAATTATGTCTTATGGCTCTTTTCAATCCTCCTTTTTGTAGTGGATGAATATAACAAGAAGTATACAAGTGAAAGCAAATGTTCAATATTATGAAAAATGCGTTCATTACTCAAAAGAAAAGAAAACAGAAAACATCATTATTACTGAATCAACATAATAATCTTCCTGTATTTTGTAATATCAAAAACAATTCACTACTTATTTTGCAAACAGTGTCTAACATTATTTACCATATTGTGTAAACTTCTGGGTGCTTGCTTGACAATCACAAAGAGAGAAAGAGGATTTTCAAGTGCTTTATATTATTTTTTTGTAATAACAACACTCCAGTCATATTTTTTGCTTATTTAAATAATGAAAACAAAGAATAAAAAAATTTCAAGAATATAATGGTTCAAGAATGTTTATTGTCTTTGTATAACTCGACAAACACAAATAAAGTATACCATGCAGTTATAGTTACATAGTGTTAATTGACTAATGGTGTAGAAATATCTAGTTGACTTTTGGATTTTGAATATAAGAAAGCATGGTTTGTATATACACATGCAATAAATAGGTTTTTGTGAATTTACAGTGTGATATAATGAAAACGTGTTACGTATAAGCAACAGAATATATATGTATATATATACTTGATCTGATGCCTACTAGCGACTGGCCCTATTCAGGCAGTTACCTGGGGTTCTAGTGGAAAACCGTGATCAGTAGGGTAGAGCAGGTCGAGGGTGAAGACACCTACTCACCGAAGACATTACTAGGTGGTCGCGCTACATCATGAATCGGCAGAAGCTGGAGTCCTTGAGCTGGCCATTGCATCCACTCTCAGTGGCTTAATGGTCCACGAGCTCGCCTTGTAACCTGAAGGTCCTGGGTTCGAACCCCACAGTGTGGGTGCGTAATGATGAAGAGTCCCAAGCACTAGGATGACATGGCTGTCCAGTACTCCAGTGTTTCTTTTTAGCTGTCCCCTATCGGATTTCAGCTGACGATGAAATCCTCCAACCAATCAAAGAGAATCCCTACAAACTAATACTTGAAAACTATCTGTACATAAATATATATATATGTATATATAACAATACGTATTCTATAATTACAGGTAAGCTGTGCACGAAAATTATTCCTCTAATAACCCGGAATAGAGTAAAATGGTAATGGCTTATTTATCTACAGTTCATATTTCATTTAGTAAAGTGATAGTGTACTGTATACCCATCAGAACCGGATCAAAATGCATTTTGAATGTCTCGTTCAACATGAAGGCATATATGGAATACTACTCAATGTAATCTATGATTTTTAAATTAAACTGGTATGCACACAGTGGATTTTGATGAATTTCACAGTGATTCAAATAACATGTCGGTTTGGAAGTAATTTAGAAAACTTTGAAAAATCAGTTGGTTAAAAGTGAAACAGTATGCCTTCTACATTTTTAGAAATCTCAAAAAATAAAGGTATCAGATTATTTCTTTAACTTAATTTGTATTTTCTGTTATTAAATTACATTGCAAACTTGGAGGGTCACAGAGAATATTTCCAACAGGTTGCAGACCTTTATCAACAGCTGTCTTCGTTCCATACTGAAGATCAGATGGCCGGCCGGTAAGAATCACCAACAAGAAACTATGGGCACAAACAAAACAAGAACCTATCGGCCAACAAATATGCAGGAGAAAGTGGAGATGGATTGGACACTCACTCGCTGAGGAGGCCACTGGGTGATATCGCGTGTCAGGCCAGTGCTCGAGTGGAACCCGAAAGGGGAGCGGGACGTCGAAGGGTGACATGGAGGAGATCGTGTGAAGAGGAGCTGAAACAGTATGGACTAACATGGATGCATGTGAAAAATACAGCAGAAGACAGAAGCAAGTACAGACGTGTAGTTGAAGCCCCATGTTCCACTAGGAACCCAAGGGAACAATAATAGTAATATAAAATAAAATTACGTTGCACCGAGAAGTTTACAGTCTTTTAACATGTTGCCTTCTATTACGAACGTTTCGACGACCCTAGGAGATTGAGATCAATTCTGCTGAGAGTCACCACCAACTAAATTACGTAAAGGTATCACGTGCTAATGTCAAAGCTACTCTGCTTTTTATCATACAAAAACAACACTGGGCTTTTGAAACGTAAACTCCTTCCTTGCATAGTTTTTATTAACTACTTTGTTAGATTTGACATTCTGAAATGAAAAAATGAGATTTCAGGTAAGACAGCATCTGGAAAATTTGATATGCTTTCCAAGATTATGTATCAGAACCATCTAGGGACCTTTCACCCATTAAATATGATAAAGATAAAGCAGATGCAGCAGATATACTGAAGGAACCTTTGATGGACATTGCTCTCCATTCCCTTGAGTGGAATCCAAATAGGAAACGATGAGTGGGGCCTGTGTTCAGGGGTGAAATAGACGTGATCTTGTGAGCAGACGATGAGGACGCAAGGACACTAGTACAGAATAAGATAAAATGTGGATATAATGATTAAGCCTGATGTTTCATTCGGAACCCAAGAGAAGAAGAATGCTAATAATAAATGGCCATATCTTGAGTGCATGGTGCCAAGATTATTCTTTAAACCAGTTTTTACTCATTATAGGTATACTTCTCTTTACACAGGTTCTGATATCTGTTACTCTTCAGGTGTGTAACAATAAGCTTAAGTAATCATAAATATAAGTTAAATCTGTTGCTTACCGAAAGATCCTCGGTAGTTGCTACCGTGTTATTGTTGTTTATATTTTTCAGACTTCAAGATTTTTGAAATATCATGCTAGAGAATAACACATCCAGACTATTTGTGATGAAATAATGGTGAACACTTGTAGCTCAAGTACATGCTTTTGATGCGGTTGTATCTTCTGAATCGGACGGTTTAATTGCAAAGCTTTCATTCTCAAACTCGAAAAAATGTTCAGCTCCAACATAAGAAGAATTCCAAAAGCTCACTTTGTAGTGAGGTGAATTCTGAAAATGTTGATAACAAAGACAATGAAAATTTTGCAATTGTTTCCTGAAGTCCTAGCGAAATGTCGTGACTAGTGAGTTTCAACTAGTCAATTGTGGGGATGGGTGTCCTATTGATCACATTGGTTGGTGGTCGCAGGAAATCACGAATTGGTGAAAGTACGAATTCATGAGCTGGCCACTGAATCGAGTCCCAGTGGCTTAATAGTCTACGAGCTCGCCTTGTAACCTGAAGGTCCTGGGTTCGAATCCCAGTGGGTGCGTACTGCCGATGATTCCCAAAAACTAGGAAGAAACAGATGTCCAGTACTCCCTGGTTTTCAATGGTTCTCTAACTGATATCAGTCCGTGATCAACTCGTAAAAATTCAATAATTTATATACATTCCAAAATGTTCTGAAATTCTTCCCAGTTTTAATGATTCATTGAATATTTAGTCAAATATTCACTACAGGCTTTTTATTTATAAATCGACATTTACAAATATTGAGAGCACCGAAGAAATTCTCTTGATGATTACCATTTGTTATTACTGTTTCCTTTAGTTCCTAGAGGGACAAAGGGCTTCAGCTGCACGGTTTCATCGCGTTTGGTTCTCTGTCAACGTTATCACCGGACTCCATGTCTACCACATGTTTTCATCTCCTCTTCACATGACCTCATCCATGTCACCCTCACACTGATGACCAACTCTCCGCTTCCCATTTGGGTTTCACTCAACTGCTGGCATAGGGTGTAGTGTCACTTGATGATCTGTTTTCTCACAATGTGGCCAATGCATCTCCATTTCATCCTGCATATTTTTTGCACAATCGGTTGCTGCTGGGTTGGTTCGATCATTGCCAGAGATCCCTGTCACTGTCCTTTTCTCGTCATCTGATCTTGAGTAGTATTGAGTGAAGACAGCTGTTGATGAAGGTCTACAGTTTGTTCGAAGTGCCCTTCGCGACGCGACGCCAAGTCTCTGATCCGTAAAGTACCACTAACTTCACATTGGAGTTGAAAATTCGGATCTTGTTTTTCAAGCTGAGTGCTATGGATCTCCACACAGACTAGAGAGTAATGAAATCTTGTCTTGCTTCCCCGATGATCCTCGCTTTGATGATATCCTCATCACTTCCGCCTGTAGTTTAAACGATGCTGCTCACGATAATCCTAAATTATGTTAACATAATATAAACTGCGAGTAATTATAGTAATTACAATTCATTTGATTGAAATCAAAGTGTGATTTTCGTCTAGTTAACCAAATGAGATAACGTTTTTAGTGATATCAAAAAGTGTATTATAAAATAAGTAACCTAATGAAAGATGACATCATTGCATTATTGGTAGTAGAATCACACTGTTTAAATTTACTTCAGTCAGTGAGAGATTGGGACGAATATGCTCTTTGCGTGAAACATGTAATAATAATAATAATTTGCTTTATTCCAAAACAGTACTTGTGATACAGAATGGAATTCTCAGCATTTTTACTACAGTATTGCATCCATTTAGTACATTATCAATAAATAAAATTCTACATAGATTAAGGAAATCTCAGTTCATTATGACAACAACATGTTGGCATGTTGGTAGCAAAGCCAAAATTGAACAGTGTTTGATGGTGTTAGAAAAGTAGGTGCTATCATATTTACTGGCGTAAGCGAGAGAAAGAAAAAAAGCAGCACAAAACGGAAAATAAGAGAGAGACAGAATAGGAAAAGAAAGCAAGAAAATGTTGTACCTATAAATGTTATGAGTTGGAAAGACGAGGTCCAGTTGTCCTACTGACTATTTAATAAGTTATAGGTGTCACGCCTAATGCTTTCTTTATCTCACAGAACACGAGCTAAGTAGGGTATGATTGAGTTTTTGTACTTGCTGGTGCGAGCATATAGTTTTCTATATAGGTTTCTGGTTTCGCCTGATGAGATGTAAGGGGAGAGTTTTGAATGCTTATTTCATGATGAACGGGATATCTCACGTACCATCCGACCAAGTTAATGTTCATTGATTTATTTTGTAATGTGATACTACTGAGCTATCTGAACGTTAAAGTGCAATTGCTTATTACACTTCAGTGTGTTGAAATGATATTAGTGCATTGAAAAACTGAAGTATACAGGTGAGTCATTATAGAAAAAAGTACACTGATTAAAACTGACTGATCATTTCGCATGTCCTACAGTTCTATCGATTGTATGTTATGACCTAAATACAACCAAAAGTAATCAAGGGAACATGAGTTTCTGAGTTTACAGAAAAGTGAATATTAATCAGGCTTTCAAAATAATCACTACACAAAGAAAACCATCGTTACTTCGATTCGCAGAAGTCATTAACGTCAAAAGACTTCGACTCAACCTATGCATACAAAAAGATAGTGTGACTAATCTCTCATTATCCTGGTAACCAGAATTGTTTTGTTTGTGT